CGGGCGGGGACAGGGACCCCGCAGCCACCGCGTAACGGCACCGGGAACGGGGGAAGGAAAACACGACACCCTTCACAGCAGGAAAGCGAACGGACGAGCACGAACTGTCACACTGCAGAACGCTGTACATGGCAGAGAGGTCGCCTGGCGCCGGTCCGGGTCCCCCGGAGCGGGGCGGGAGACTCCTCGGACGCTGCAGAAACATCACTCGGGGTCCAACACTTCACTGAAACAAAACCAAAACCAACACGCGAGCACAGGAAAGCGGCACTCCCAAGGGGACCACATCCCCACCGACATCCAGCCCAGCACCCGCAGAGCTTCTTCACCACGCGGGCGTCCTCCAGACGTGGCTTTGCTCCTGCTGTCCCCCCCACGACGCGTCCTCATCCAACACCTCGGAGGAGGCTGGGGCCACACGCCAGCGAGCACAGTGCAGGGGAGGAGGAACGACAGTGTTAACATCTGGTGGTGCCAGCGTGGCCACCTGCTCTCCCTGTCCTCCATGACTCGCGGTCTCTCAGCAGCGCAGCCTCTTACCGGCAACAGCACAGCTGCCACCCAGCAGGCAGGGAAGGACTCAGCCATTCCTTGCTGCAGAGCACAATGGAAGCAAGTTCACCACGGCTGCAGGATTACTCGTCATCACCTGCTCTGTTGATGGGGACCTCCTCACACCACAGCCTCCAGCCCCTGGAGCCCAGTTCCCAACCAGCCCCAGACACAAAACCTTGGCTGCTCACCCTGCTGAGGTCAGGCCTCCAGCTGGGTTCAGAATGGCTGTCTAGCCCAGTTCAATCTCAGGCTGGCTCCAGGGGACACAGGGTTGGGACTGACACTCCAGGCCAACCAGAGGTCTCTGTTTTGGAACATCTCCCCTCTTCCAGGCACCATGTCACCAGCTGGAAGACAAAGGCTAGAGCCCAGAGCTCTGCGCTACGTGCTGCTCCGTGTGTAACCCATCCGGTGAACGGCTGGGAAGCAGCACATCAGACACTTCAGCTCAGAAAATAGAAAGCCCAGGGCTGAGAGGGGGAAGCCTGGAGGTGACATTCTAACCCACTCCTCGTTCAGGAAGTTCACTGGGAAAAGCATCCCAAGCAGCTTCTCCCTAAACTCCCCATCAATCAGTGCAAAGCTGATCTCCCCCTCCATCAGGAAATCCCCACCAACTATCTGCTCCTCTCCTGCGACATTGCAACTTTCATCGGGTTTACCTGCTCCTCAGCCCAGAGGACAGCAGTATCAGGTTCAGCTGCATGAGAAACACATCACCAAAAGCCACCCAATACGGCAAACCGCACCTCCCTGCAGAACCACGGTTTCACTTGTGCCATCCTGGTCTGTCTCCTCTGCTCAGGAGACTTTCATCAGCCAGGAGATCACATGGACTTCACCCCCACGTCCTGCTTCTCTGAAACAACCCAGTAATCAGATCAAATCTTTGGGGAAGGGTTCGGGGGAATCAAAGTGTTTGTGGAAGTAGAGCCTGGCCACAAATAGCTTCTCAGCTGTGTGACACAGCTGTAAGTCCAAGCACTCTGCCAACACCCACAGACAGAAGCTGCACCAGGAAAGACAGTAACCATGCCACAGCTTAATTTTGAGCAATAATGCAGACACTCAGGACCCGCGCTGGTCCTGCACCGCCCAGAAGGCAGGCAGACTTGCCCCTCTCGTCAGACGAGCTGCAAGAGCAACACAAGTTCTAATCACAGGATCCAATTCCAGAGTTAAATCCCGTAGGTCTCCTCCTGAACTTGGACAATGCTCCCTTGTGTAACTTCCCTACCAGCTTTGCTGAAGGAAGGAAAGCACGAATGTTTTCCCCGCTCAGGTAACTGAGCTACCTGGTGTTGGCTGCTCAGCCAGCGGCCGGAGCTGCCCGTGCTCCTGCAGCACATCTCTGCAGAGAAGCGTTTTCTGGGCAGGCATCACTACTTAGTTGCACCAGCCATTCGTTTTTTGCCTGCAAGGACAGCAGCACCTTTGCCTGTGTGCCAGAATCCTTCTGGAGAATTCGGAGAGATTCCGACTCAATCTCTCGGTCAAGCTTGGGGAAAACGACAGCAGCACGAAACGATGGCACGTGGCAAAGGCAAAGGCAGCCACTGGTGCCGCCACACCACAGCTCCACGCAGGAGCTCAGAGAGCGCAACACAAGGGGACACAACGGAAGCCAGCAAGGTCGAGAATAAGTCACTTTTGGTACAACTGCAAAAACATATCAAACAGGACTTGCCTCTTTTTTTGTCTTTTTCTAAGTTTTATAAATAAAGTCTGATAACTCTTTATAAAAACTAACCTCAGAGCCACAAACAGTTTGCGGGAGGTTCATGAGAAACTTTAAAATTATTTATTTATTAACTTTTAACTAGCAAAGTCTCTGAGAATATTTCCCCATTTAAATGGTCAAATATTCTCGCCCTCTCGGATAAAAAAGCTGACTATAAATACGCTCTCTCTTCTGTCTGATTTTAATTTTAAACTTAGATAATTTAATAACTCTTAAAATGATGTTTCTCTCTTTAAATAAAGGGCTATTTAACCACATAAACTAGTTGTGTAAACTGTCACACCAGAGACACTTGATACCCTCAAAACACGGGAACACCTAGTGATTTTGGTCTTGTTCAGTGCAACACATTAGGCACAAAACCGGCCTGCAGTCAACACGGTACCTTCCCTCCCTCCCCCGGAGCGCCGGGCCTCTGCGGGGACCCTGTCCCAGCTCCGTCCCCACCGCGGGGGCAGAGGCAGCGGGGCACGACAGCATCTTCCTTCCCACCACTGCTAGTTCACACAGCTAACGCAACAGACGTCTGCAGGAAACCCACTGCTGGGGCACGGAGGCACACCTAGAAAGGAATAAAAACCTATTACACAGAACACCCCAACTGCAACTACGGGTACCGAATGAGACAAAAGCAGCAGGATCAGGCACCTGGCAGTCGGGCGCCGCGATGCACCACCTGGAAGAGCAATGAAACAAAGCCTTTGGAAACGACCGAAAATTAGGGTTCCCGACCCCCAGGAAGAAAGCCCCCCTCCGGACCTTCCCCAAGCCCTTCCGTCGCCCTGCCATCGGCCACACTGCGCAGGCTTTCTTTGGCCAGAAAACCAAGATCTCGCAGTCTGTCCCGAGGGCGCCCCAGGGCTACAGACTGCTGGGTGGGAGGCTCTGTCTGCACAGGACAAGGGACGCATCACCACTGCTCATACCAATCTGGACACAACAAAACAAAACTGGAGTGATCAGCAGGCCAGTCCTGGGCCAAGCAGAAGGAACCCAGACCCATGCGGGGAGGGTTTGTGCTTTGGGGATTCCAGGCTGGTTTTGTGCCTAATTGCCCTGCACAGACAAGCTCAGGCAACACGCGCTTCACTAAGACCGGGCGTCCGTTTTGGATTTCACTATTGTGATGACACTGGTAGCAGCGACCTTGCCAGGGACGAGGGGCCCCATACTGGAGGGGAGAGGCCCCCGCGCAGGGGCCCCGGGGCTCCGAGCCACGGTTCTGGCGAAGTTCTGGAGAGCCTCGTATTTGGAGCGGAGAGCATCGAGTTCCATTTTCATGCTGGCGTTCTCGGAGGCCAGCTTCTCCACTTCTTGCTGCAGCTCTGCCTTCTGCTTCTCCAGTTCCTCCTTCTGGGTAACACGCTTAACTCTGCAGCTGGCTGCGTAGCCCCGGTTCTTCAGCGTACGCCGACGCTGCTTCAGCTGGATGATCTCCTCCTTCGACAGGCCCCGTAGATGCTGGTTCAGCTCCCGCACAGACATGGTCACCAGCTCCTCGTCTGTCAAGCTGGTCCCATTCTCGCCTGGCTCTCGCTTCACCTGGAAGAGAAGGCAGCACGCACTCATGTAAGCTGGAGCGGGTGCCTGCACCTACCACCCACTTCCCTTTCCTCTACCTGCCTCTCACCTTCAAGGCCTTGCTTCCTTTGTTGGGGGTCGTCATAACACGACAGCCTTGTCAATCAGGTTCTGGAAGGGAAGGAAGGTCAGGTCAGCCCCCCGGCATGCAGCAGAGCCTGCGACACTCCTGTGGCACGGTCCAGCAGCAACGTCCCGTGCTCCTGCACATCCCACTCCACCCTCCCCAGGTGGCACGCGACAAGCACCCAACTGAGACGGACTCACAAGCAGCAGATTCTGTCCCTGAGCAGAAGCTGCTGCCTTTACACACCCCTACTCCCACAGAGACTTTGTGGCAATGCTTTTTTTTTTCGCTTGGGGCGGGGGAAATTGAAAAACTAGGAGGAGTCAGAATACGTGGAAGCCACATTTTTAAAAATAGCCTGGCAGGCAGCAGGCTGGGTCCAGAGCGCGGCTGCTCCGGGCCAGTCACGCTGACTCAGCAAGCTGGCGCTCTGTGCCTCTTGCTCCCAGCCTCATCCTTGTGCCTCCCAAGCAGAGCCAGGCAGCCAGTCACTCCAACATGCCCTCTCCAACAGGTGCCCAAGCACAGCCCAGAAACTCCCCAGGACAAGAGTCCTACTAGACTCTGGGTGCTCCCAAGGACACAACTGGCGCGGTTCGAGAACACGTGGCCCTGGGCAAGGAGCGCAGGGGAAGCCTTTGCCTCCACAGCACGCATCGCTGGGCGTCCTGCGGGATGGGAGAACACCACTGCTGCGCTCACATCTCTCGAACTTTTTCTGCTTCCCAGGAAAGCCAGCACATCCAGGTTCAAGCCAAAGTTCTGCACCCAATCCTTCCCAAGGAACAGAAGGACAACCTGATACTGCAGCACAAGGAAGCATCTGGGCACACTGGAATCCCATCGCAAATATGGGCTGATGCTTCACCAGCCTTCGCCTCTCCCGGTGACCCCAGCTGGGAGAAAGTCCCTACCGGTCCCTGGCAATGCCAGGGCCCAGAACCACCTTCTCCCTCCCTTATCTTCAGAGCCAAGGTATGCTCGTGAGAAAACAAAGATTAAGGGCAGCCAAAACCAGAGGAGAGCAGACTCCTTCACTGTCATGGAAGACAGAACTTCGAAACTGGTAAAAGCAATTCCCACGCCTGTTTTCACAGTGACCCAAGCTCCTGTTTCTGTCCCTACACACCTCCTCCCCTTGAGGCTTTCCTTCAGAGTGCTACTACACTGCACAACGAATTAATACGCTCAGACACTCCTGGACAGCCAGGATCTGCACACCTCCTTAAGCAAGGCAAGCGTTCCTACGCAAGCGCAGCCTACAAGCACCTCCACCTTTCATCTCTCCGGTGCCAAACAGTCCACAGCAATTTTGTTTGCTGCTGCTTTGCTAAATGGAAGAGACACTGACACACAGTTATAGCCAAGAATCAGGTGCACAAGTCAGCAAATACGAGTTTATGCTCCTCCAGCAGCTGTGGCGCACGCTCCCCCACAATGCACTACCACCGATTAGAGGTGAACAGGGTCAGCATGCCCCAGGACACCAGCAAAGACATTCCCAAAGCCAGGAGGTAGGCTATTTACACCCAGAGGACAATGCTCCTTCCAGTGAGATGTCTGCTACAACCTGACAGTGCTGGTGTAGAAAGGGTCACTTTGCTGCCCAAAGACGGTGGCTGCAATGAAGCAGGCGAACACAGGACAGACAGCACACAAGCAACTGCTTCACAAAAATCAATTCTTCCCATACTGTTGTGTTTCTTTCCTCTGTTCCTGCTTGGCAAACAACAGGGCTGCCGGGAAAGGGGAGAAGGAAGGGAGTAGCTGGGGAGACCAATGATGCCAGCCCTGCAGCACCTCTGCACCGTCCTCTCGTGAGTGTAGGGAGTCAAGGACAGGTACGGTCAGTGGGACGACAGAAATCTGTTTGCCTTGTGGCACTAAAAAATTTCCAGCTGCCTGGCAAGCACTCAAGCTTCCTTCATTACATCAGAGCTGAAATAAAACAAACGAGGCAACAAACGTGCTACACCAAGCCGGGAGCTCCATGGGGCAGACTGGGGAACCTGCAGGGCGGCTCGCACAGTCCGCACCCTGCGAAGGCAGCGACTATGACTTCTGCCAAAGCCGAGATGGGGGCAAGAGAGCTATCAGCAGACAAGAGAAGGGGCCGGTCCAAGTCCCTGACAACAGCAATTTAACTCTTCTTGAACTTTGAGAGTCAAGCATTCTCACCCAACCTCCTCAGGCAGACGCCTCCCACAACAGCCATCAAAGCTGTAACAGGACCAGCCCCAAAAGCACCTGGTAATCCCACCTCTCCTTATCCCCCTTCTCAAGGGGATAAAAATGAGACGCAGCAACACACGAGGCAGTCAGTAGAAAGGGAAGAACAACCTGGAGACTAGCTGTCGGCTATTTTTTAAGCCCCGTTTGAAGGATCAGAGGACATCCAGAGAAGTGGCACCAAGACAGAGACCAAACTTGGCCTAACTGTCCAGACTGCTGATCGCTCAGCTTTTGATAGCTTCCTGAAGAAGGATCACACTGAAAAGTGCCAATGCGATGACTGCAATGAAGAAAATGCAGCCTCAACACATTTCCCCAGAGCTCAAAAGGCCTGAACTCAGCACAAGCGCAGCCAATTCTCTCCTCAGCTCAAAGGCAGCACAAGCGAGCTGACAGCACCGCGCATGATTCAACACAGGCCCCATTCTCCACATTCCTGATCGCAGAACTGTGCCATGAGCCCCGTGTAAACACGGTGACGTCACCCGTTCCAGCGCAGGCTGGCCTGGCGACGGCACTGGGAGGGAGGGAGAGGAGGAGGCCCGTCTGTAGGGACAGGGAGGCAGAAGAAGGGGCTGTGCTCCACAACAGGTTCCGCAGCACCGGGCCGGCAGAGGAGTGTGGTTTGCTGGCAGCGGCCGAGCATGCCACACAAGAACTCTCTCCCAGTGTGGATTTCATACTGTTTGCTTGATTTCTTGCGAATTAGCTCACACAGCGCTCCCAGAAATCCAGATAAATCGTGTGACTGCCCCAGTTACCTATGAAGACAGGACAGTGCCTCTCCTGTGCCACCCCGCTCTGCCTTGGGAGTCCAGGATGAGCTCACATCCAACCCAGGGCACTCCGACAGCAATTCTCCCCTCCACGAAGCTGCCC